ACATCACCACCTTTAAATAAGGCACAGCTTGAAAGATCTACATAGTATCCCATCTAGGGAGAGGTTCAAGCCACAAAATTCTGATCTAGATTGATGTTAAATTTTGTTTTGCTTCAAAACACAACACTGTCAATATCTTGGTTATCTCTGGTGCTATGCTTTAGAATACAAATCCAGGTGGAAAGATGTGGAAAGATGTATTTGTGTGATGACTTTAAATCAGTAGTTTCAACAACCTCAAAAAAATCTGAGGTTTAGGCACGTTTTCGGACAGCCTCTTCAATCTTAGAGGCTTTGACCAAACTCAGCAGAGGGAAGATTTGGCAACAATGAGCAGAGGGTAGGTATGAACAAAATGAGCAGCTTGCATCTGGGCAGCCGAGGCTACAACTCGTGTGTGTGTTGACTGCTGCATGAAAATGCATGAACAATGATATTCTGTACAGAGCTTTAGTACCTACCCTGTGTGTGCTGGACCTGGGAAGCTGGCAGTGTATTGCTGGTGTAGGAGATACAAAAGGAAAGTGCTCAAGTTGGAGGAATTAAAGTCCTATGATTAGGAATGGCCTGTTAAAATTACATGCCACATGGCAAGCCTGTGAAACTTGGCGTGTGGAGAGCATATTGGCAATGATTTACAATTAACCACCACATTGCAAATCACTCCTTAGCTGTTTTCTATTATGAAATTTGGAGAGTTGTAAAATGCATTTGTGCTACTTTATTTCCTTTTGAAATGGTAATTGCTACTGCTGAGGGGCAGTACTTAGTGCAGAAAATGAAGTGTACAGCGTAGAGAGGAACTTGTTCCTGAGGAACTGCTGAGGAATTGTAATGATCTGAAAAAAGTCTTTTGTGAAAGACATACACACAAAGGAGCTTCATTTATGAAACTCCAACCAAAACCAAATAAATAACAAAATAAAATAAAACACAGTGTTTTTTTGTGCAACGGCCAGTGCTTACTACTTTGTTGCTGACTGCACTTTTTCCCCATGAAAGTGGGAACGGTGGATTGACATTGGGTAAAACTTGTAAGCCAGTGGCTTGAGGGAAATGCAGATGTATGGAAATGTGATAGGAATGCCCTAAGGTAATGGGTTTGGAGCCAATGCGTTTGAAAATTATCGAGCGTGCTTCTAAATATTAGCCCATTTTAGATACCTGGTATAGAACTGACAGTGCTATGGCCCTGGGGAGCTGGATGAAGTTTGACTTTTGTGTCTGAGGAGCAGAGGCTGTGCAGCCTAAGTGGAGAAAGCAGGTATGTTCTAATGAAGTGGTGGTAAGTTCCCCCCTTACAGCTTCCCCCTTGACTGCGATTGTAAAAAGGATTATGTTTATGAGTAGCTTTTATGGAGCGATATATTCAGGATAGCAAGGAGTGAGGCTTCTGAGGTCTTAAATTTGCTAACTTGTGACAATAATCATGATCTCTCAGGTAATAAAGTACGCTATCTAGCTTAGGTCCTCAGTTTAAAGTTAATATCTTTGAAAGCCAGATGATTGACTGTAATTTTGCTCATAGTGTTTTGCTGGTAGCAGTAAATAAAAACATCTACAGCACTTTTCATCAGAAGTGTCAGAGTACTTTCCATGCCTTAATCAATTAATCTTTATGAGATGGTGGCATGGTTATTTCCCTTTCTCTACTGGAGGAACTGAAGGGATCAGAGCAGCAACCAGAAAGTATGCAGCATTTAGTGCAATAGCAAAGACTCAAAATGCCTGGGTCTAGAAGTGCGACTTTCCAGAATCATTTTACAGTAAATACAGAGGAGACAGACACAGTCATAACTGTCCTTTCATTAACAAGTTTGGGCTGGCATTGTGTCTTAGAATGACAACAGACTGAGTTGATGCTGCCAAGATGGTCCATCTTGACACTTAGGGAAAGAAGCAGTTATATTGGATCAGCTTGGTTAAACAAGTAACTCACAGCTGAACTACAATGCAAAAAAGCTGAAGCCAGGAATGGCTCAGAACAAGTGATATAGAAGCAATGTCCAGGTATGTAGGGGTGATGTTAAAAAGAGCCAGTGTTCAGCTGGAGTTGAGACTTGCAAGGGATGTCAAATTGCTAGTTAGGGGATGAACAAGGAAAATGTGGGACTGCTGCTGGATTCAGCTGGTGGTTTAGTGGCAGCAAACACAGACCAGGAGGAGGTACTCAGTGCTGCCTTTGCCTCAGTCTTTACTAACAAGATCTCCCTTGTTAGTACTTTGCAGCAGGGCTCAAGGAGAAGGAGAGTGACCAGCATCAGATATAAGGTGAAAAAAAGGCTATTTAGACCAGAACTAAGGAAAAACTTTCTCCCCATGAAGATGATCAGGTGGTAGCGCTGGCTGCACAGGGAGGTTGTGTAGTTTCCACCTTTGGGCGTTTTCAAAGCCCAACTGGACAAAACCCTGAGAAACCTGGTTTGAGCAAGGGGTTGGACTAGAGACTCCTTAAAATCCCTTCCAGCCTGGATTCTTCTGTGATTTTAAGATTTGTGGCTCTGGCAATTCTAGATATTTTAAACCTTCTGCTTAGCTCACCCAGCTTTGTCCACCTAAATAAAAGAGGTTCTTCAATGAATGAGTATTTAAATAGATGATGTTTTAAAGTAAATGCTTTTGAATGACAAATTGCGTACGACTCACGTACTGGCATAGTAGTGGCATTTCTGCAATACCTCAGCTACCAGCGGTCTTCCCGTGAGCACGTGTGCCACGCACAGCCCAGCGAGAGCTGCTGCACGCAGTCTGTGCAGCTGTGTCCGCTCCTGTAAGCAATCTGGCTTTTGATCTGGGATGACAGTGACCAGAGCTGAATGAAATCAGGATAATACAGTGGCATTATGTGTAGATTTCAGCCTCATTCCGGTTTCGAAAACAGTAGCCAGAGACTGCATATTTACTTCAGGCCTGGTGTCTTCCTATTTCTCAAGGAGAATCTGTGATGCATACATGGGAGTATGTTCTCCAGCCATTAGCAAGCATGAAAGGGGAAGGAGTCCAACCGTAAGGAAAGGGACTGACAGTGGTGGTCTTGTTTGCTGTTCTCCTAATACATTCTCCTGGCTCTCCAAGCAGCCTAAGTGCGAAGAGGAATGTACAAATGATGGGAGACTCTGGGAGTGCTTGCACCAACTTCAAAAGGACAAACTTTGGCATAGGAAAGTGAAATTGGGTTGAAAGGAGGACGTATTAAACCTATTTGACAAACCTGGGGAAAAAAAGGGTGCAATCAGTCCAATTTAGCTATGTTTTAATTTAGTTGGAAACTATAATTCTGCTTGGAAATATACAACTTCCAAACCCAGCTAATTTGCAAGCAATACATTTAATAAGCGTCCTGCTACCTGTTGTGCGACAGTGATGAAATTTTCTGCTTCGCCTTGAGATCATGTGCAGCTGGTTTGGTTGTTTTCAAGAAAAGATAAAAGTGGCTAATGAGGTAAGAATTATTACTGTGGAAAGATGGGGACAATGGCTAGAATTTAAGGGTATTTAGATCTTTCTAATGATTTCAGTGGGACTTAGGCACTCAGTACCTTTAAAAACTAGCTAATCACATAACAAATGAGACACTAATTCAGCAGTTCTATCGGGAACAGAAAACTGCCAATATATTTACAGCTTTATAAACAAAGGAATAAGCAAGCACCCTGTGTCATAAATAAAATAATTGCCAGTACAATTGCCCATGTTTTGCAGATGATGAAATGGAAAGAGGATCATTTTCTCAACAGCACCAATATAAATCAAGAGTAATGCAACTAATTTTTGCTCTTATAATTACGGAGTACAACTTTATCTTGGATAGGTTAGTGACTTTCCACAAAAGTGCAGGAGTCAGTTCCATAGCTAGAATTTTAATTTTCCCACTTCTTTTCTTAGAGAAGTCGATCATTTCTCCCTTACACTGTATACCTTTTAATCATAAATGCAGTTATTTCTCCTTCTGATGCTTATAAACACTTGTTCTTAGTGTTAAGAAATGGTTACAGTTTTAAAATTATAACCAAAGCTGTAAGCAGATTCCACAATATGCAGACAAAAATGATGTATCTTAGAAAAGGGAGCTCTTTCACATGTGTGTATAAATTGAAGCGGTTCAGTTTGCAGTTACTGAAATACCAATGGGCCATCATTTGTTTTCACTTTGAATCAGGAACATAATGTACAGGCACCCTTTGCTTCTCTTTGATACTGTGGGTTTTTTTCTCTTCAATCCAGATTAAGAATCTTAGGAATAAGGTTCTTATTTTACTGTCAAGTTCTCTGTGCTTTGGAAAGTATGAGGGAGACAAAACTTTCTGTTTCCTTTGGGTTTTCTCACAATTCTTCTCATATTTGCCTCATTATTGCTCTTGCATTTTGGGAGATCTATGCATCTGACTCCTGAAGAAAATTAACCCTTGGAAAGCTGAGTAGAAACTGCAGGGTGCATACCCTGAGACAGCTCCTGAGACAGTACCTGTATTTATAGCCTATGGACTGAAAAATTTTCCTGAGATTAGATGTCTTAGCTGCCCAGTTTCTTACACATGTGCATACTTCTCTAAAGCCAAGATATTTCTGAGGTAGTAGATGCAGGTTCTCCAGGTTTCTGACCCAGCAGTGATTCTTCTGAATAAACCACAATTCTGAAGGGAAAATAAGTTATAATTGCTTAACCCTAAAGCGTCAGGTTTGGGAGTGTTGTTGTTGTTGTCAGAAACCATTTTAGCCTCAAGGAAATACAACTTCTTGACAAACACTTCTCATCTGCTATTTTTCAATCATTGAAGTATAGAAGTATATTTGAAAAGCAAAGCGCTTATGATTATATCTGCTTTTATAAGTTTAACTGTAATCAGCAGACTAGGAACAGAGTGCACAAGTCATTTTATCTACATTATTTGTGGAGAATCTCTGAGAACACAGGAGTGCTTCTGACCTAGTTAAACTCCTGCTATTTTGAAAATTCTTATTAAAAAGCCATCAATACCTCTGTGAGCCCACATACTCACTTGTTGCCCAGTAACCAGAAGGATGGAGCCTTCTTTCCCATGTACCACTTGCCGGTAAATGTGATCTAGAATTAGGAGTTCACTCCAGCAGTTCTGAAGCAACTTCATTTGGTCATCAACCTGTAAAGCAAACACAAACGTTGGTGGCATCACTCTGGGAGTAAGTCTTACATCACACTACAGTCAGTCCTTCTTCAGGCATCTGGTTAACGTCATGAGAACTGAAATGCTATCAAAAATTATTCATCCACAAAATTGCTTTTTTTAGTTGAATAAATAGAGCACTACTGAAACCCTTACCCATAAAATGTATAGAATATTTACTACATAATACATTCTAGGAAAGCAGAGCTATGACATTGTTATGCAAAGTAATAATAATAGTATATTTATGAAATGCTCATGGAAATGGGATATTATTTTTACCCAAAGCAAGAATAGCAGAAATAATGCTGATGTGAACTTTTCCATACTCCCCATCTTTGAATCTCAGCTTCTGGAAATAGTAAGGAATCTGCAGATTCAAGCGCATCATTGTTGCAACAAGCCCAAGTCAGAGATAGGTCCCTTGCAAAGGAAAATGTGAAGAGAGAGGTAAATACTCCCTCTGAGTATGGTTGTGGTACTATGAAAAAAGAAGAAAAGATCATCATAAATAGAAGCTGAGCTGCTTCAGGTGTCACCAGTAGGGCAGGAAAGGGCCATGCATAAGGCAGTAGTGAGCAGTGAGAAATACCACTAACTGCATTTAGTGATAGAAGGCACATACTGGGCACTCAGCACAAGCAACCTACATTAAGATTTTGTGCAATGTTATTCGGGATGTACATATTATAGGACAACAAAGTGTATCACTAAACTGACTCCTGTTGCAACTGGATTGCATTCAGTTTTATTCACTTTAAAGATTGAAAAATAATTAAGATTTCCACAAATTAGTGTAAGGCTGACTAGAATTCAGTCACGGTAAGCATCAATATCCTCTGGACCTGTTCTTACTGAATTTACTGATTTCTTCCTAAAATCAAACAAAGTCTTTGACTTCAGACATGTGTCTGAAAGAGTTGTTAGGAGATGCGTACATTAGCCTTGCTACAACTAAATGTCTGGTGCGGTTGTGGCAATGGCAGGTATATAGCTAAAAGGATTCTAAGAACCTGCAGAGATAGCAATTGCTGAACAGATTAAAAATGCTATAAATTAGGAGTAGTAAAAATGAAATTAGTGAAGAGAATATTTTAAGTGGAGAACATTTCTGAGACATGGAACTATTAAAATTGTTTTCCAGGTGTTCTAATTTCAATTGCTTTAGAACTAGATTTCATAATGCACAGGAAACTGCATTATAAGGAGAAATCTTGCATAAGCTGAATTAGATAATGCAATAGATGTTTTCAAATTTTATCAGCTATGACCTAATGGATTTTTGAGCTTCATTCTTTCAAGCTTCTTTTCTGGTTGTGTGGTAGAGAAGAAAGTATCGTTTGTTACTAATAGATTTTTGTGGTGTCACCTGTGAAAGTTACCCAGTATTGTCTCCCTCTTTCCAGTCACTTGCCATATAGCTCAGACTTTAACATCTTAAATATTGAAGTCTCTCTTTGCCTTCCTCATTAATCTCTCCTCTCTCTACTCACAGTTTTCTCCCAACTGTTCTTGTTCCAGTTTCTCCCTGTTAGGTATCTGTCTCAAATTATTCCCTCTTGCCGGACTGTCCAAGCAAATGAAATCAGAAGAGAAAGGGAGTTCTTGCTTTTGCCTGCTCCATGACTTCAGCAAGTATCTGTGATGGAAAACTGCATAACTCATTCCCTCCGCTACTGCTTTAGCTAGAGGATGACACAATTTTCATTTGTTTTGTTTTAATTTTATTTTTATCCCACCCCTGCTTTTCTCTTAAAAAAAAAAAAAAAGAAAACAACAAGGAAAACTATATCCAAATATCTGTGCCAAAATAATATCTTAAGGTTGCAAAATCAAGCATGGCAGAATTAGTTAATGCTTGTATTAAGATTGTCTGTCTTATTCCTATTTTATCTTCAATCTTGTGTTTGTGTTATACCAGATTTCAATGCATAGACACAAAAGGGTTGAATTAGCGTTGTGCAAACACTCTCAGTACTGATATTTCAAATGTTTTGCATGCTTTGGCTTTCCAGTATTAAGACTAATCTTTTATAACTGTTGCTGTTCTGCCTACAGTCACAGTTTATACATGTATGCTCAGATCACTCCTATAAGCTACATATCCATTGGCAATAGAGATGGAGGAAAGAAAGAGGTGTGGACTCTGTAGAAGGATATATTACTAAGTCAAAGAAAAGCTAGTGCTATCACAAACGCAGCCTTGCTCCGTCCCTATGCTGTCTGTGCTCATGATAATTCATTTCTGTTCAGATCACAGGGCAAGGCTGATTCTGTATTAAAGATCTCTACCTCTGCCCACAACATGTATTTAACTACAAAACCATTTCAACCAAGTGACTTGTTAGCTCGAGAGCTGACAGTAAATTACCACATTGATACTCTCCCTACCAAAACTTCAGCCAAGTTTAAAATAAGGCATTATTTGAAGAAAATGTTTGAAATTTAGCGATCCTAGTACTCTTGCTTTTTACGTGAAACTGTTTTGTCATAATTTTCTCCCCTGTACAACAAAAATCAAATAAATCATGCTAACATAATTTTATCCAAAATTAGCATTTCACACACAGCTATCGCAGCTTACATCTGAACAACCAAGCTGTGAGACAGTTTAAACATTCAGCATCCATGTCATAACAACTAATACCTGAATAAGAGGTCAAGCATTTGATTATATTATGAATGACATATTTCCAGCTAACCCATCTGTCTCAGCCACAGGCTTTTTAAAACAAACTACACTTTATGGGTCTGGGTTTCCAAAGGCCCCAACAGCAGCTAGTCTGCAATCAAAGCTTACCTCCCAAGCTTTATCATATCATTACCGAGACAGTGCTGTGAGAACAGTATGAGATGGCAAAATCACAAAAAAAAAATGTTTTGCACATAGTCTGTTCCTGCTGTTCTACAAGACTTGTAAAACTAACAACAGTGAACATCTGCTAGTGGTTCACAAAATCTGCTCCTCTGTATTCACTGTCATTTAACCAGTGAAAGCCTATAAAATGGATAGTATAAAAAGCACAATACACACCCAAAACACAGTATTGCTTTCAGAATACTATTAGATCCAGCTGCTTTTGTCATTTTAAGAAAGCTGGCGAGGCAGCAGAATGCTTCCCCGTTTGCACTAGGAAGAAGCAGAGATGACTTTAAGGAGGGTCGTGGATTACTAAAATGTAGGGCAAGTGATCAATTCCACCCTACTTCTGAGAGGCATGTACATGAGGCAACACACATACTTTATCTCTGCTAATGCATATGAAATAAAAAATAGAAAACAACATAGACCACATTGAACAAAAATGCTAACACATCACTTCTTATGTTAGACTGAGCTGGTAAAGTTTATGACGTGTGTAAGTTCAGCCAGAACACAAACACCCTTGTGTTTTCGTGGCACATCAATAAATGAGTTGCAGAAGCATTTTATCTGGCAAAATGAAAAAATCAGCCTTTCACCAAAACATGTATGTGCCTTAAACTGATCCTGAAAGCAAAGAGGCTTAAGTTTTGGTGGCCGAAGTGGAAAGTGAGTTCTGAAGAGGAAGGTCGTCTGCAGAAAAAACACCTTGTGGACTTCAGTCTTCTGACTCCAAAACCAAAGCGTGCTAGTCCGTCATTAACGGGGTAAGCAGGAGAAAAGATAAGATTCTGCCACTAAGATAACTTAGCTCCAGGCTGGGACTTCCCTATAATCAGCATCATTTTCAATCATGGTATACATTGAACTAGAAACAGGCTCATAAACTTGTACTACTGGCTAAGCTCTGAGATTTTTTGGTTTGTGGAGATCTTTAAGAGTATCGTCAATACTTTAACAACAACAAGAAAAAAGCGCCCTTTGTCCCAACTACTGTGAATTCTTATAAATAAAAATTGAACATCACACAACCAAAAACTGGCTGCTGTGAGAACGCTCCCCAGATTTGCAGCTGCTCCCTGCCATAACAGAACATTGACACAAGGATAATGTAACCCATGACTTATCGAAGCAAGTTGTCAAATGAGATAGATAGATAGATACCCATTTGACAGCTATCTAGCCTCGAGCAAAAGCGTGAGTGAATACTGTGCCCAGATGGTTAAATTTAGGTCCTCTCTGGCCGGTGGCATTCAGCTGAAGGCACATCAGTGGGGACAGCATAACTGGAAATTGTTGCTGAAGAAAAGGCTTTTGGGGAAAGATGTGGAGGAAGCTAAGGGAGGGGGTGTGACTCAAAAGAAACAGGACATCATTTCCAGCATGCGGGGTGGCATGAAAGAGTAATGAAGTTATGAGCATGAAAGGAGTAAAAAAAAATCACACTTGTAAAACTGCTGCTAAATGACAAGGGAACCAAAGAGGGTGCTCAGAAGGAGGCTTTAAAGCAGGGGAATGGGGAGGCAGTGCAGTGAGAGAAGACATAAGGGACGTTGGATGTCAGATAAAACCTGGAAGGTGAGGATGGTGAGATTGGATGAGATGCAGACTTAAAGGGTTTGTGCAACAGTAAGTGATGCTGCTGGGGCAGAGAAGGAGCAAGTACTTTGTGTTAGAGAAGCAGAAGGATGGTGGTTGTTGCCAGCGCAGGCAGGAGAAGTCCCAGAGGTGAAAGTGGGCATGTGCGTTGTCTACTCTCTCAAACAGCAGGGTTACAAAGGTGGAGCAAGGGATAGCTTTCTGATAGCATTAATACATGACAATAGGTAAAACCCTATTACCTGCAACAAAATCCTATTTACCTACGCTTACAGTGAGGACAAGGAAGCATGTCAGAATTTGGAGTCATCCATAATCTCCTATCTCATGTTGTTTGCACTACTTGTAGCATATTACCCAAGTCATAAGCTGGAAGACAAATGGTCATTGCCACAACCACCCAGCACCATCCCACTGTGCTGCCCACAAACTACCAAGCTAGCCAGAGTAACTCCTGCAAAACAATCTCCCAGCATCTAGATGGGTGACAGGTAAACAGGGAGACATGGCGAAG